GGCCCGGGCACAGGTTAGAGCTGGTCAGCAAGCTGCTGGTTGCCTGCCGGTTCTCAGGCTTGCTACCTGTTGGCTCACGCCTGGGTTTTCAGCCCACTTGCAGAGGCTGGCAGGGGCTGCTCGGGGAGACAGGTCGCTTCGTGTCCCACGCTGGTCCAGGAGCTCCCAGAGGGGCGTGGCGGCCTCTCTGCTCGTGTTCCACATGACGGAGCCGCCTCTGCTTGCTGCCACCCTGAGCAATCCACTCATTTCATGCAAAGTAACCCCGAGATTGATACAAATAGGGAACGAGTCGCTGCCAATTCACGGTGACACGGAGGGGGTGGAGATCTCGGCTCCAGAGCTAATTGTGTGTCTGAAGGAGCTACTGAGTGCGTGTCTTTTCCGCAGGGAGCTCCCCACTGCTCTGGCCACCCAGTGGGTTCTGGTGGGACAGACAGAACCTCACTCATACTCTGTAACCCAGCCAAAGGGGAGACAAGAACAGGCAAGGCGGACTGGGGAGGGGGCAGACTCCTCAGCCTAGCAGGTCAGTTCCACGTTCCTGGTAATTTTCTGGGCCGGCACTAGAGTCTCTGACCCCTGCCCAGAGCCAGAGAGCAGTGGGGTATTGTCACTGTTACGAGTTTCCTGCATCCCACCATCTGTGCACCAGCCTCACAACTGGGCACAGCTGTGCAAAGGGGTGGGGGGAAGGGTCCTGTCAGGGATCAAATCCACGAAGCCAGCCCCAGGGGTCCAGGTGAGCTGAGGAGCAGAGCCGGCGCACAGCCCTATCCCCCTCCCTGCACGCGCCACAGGGCTCCGCTGCGCAGGGATGCACAGGGCTTTCGGTCTCTGGGAGAATCCGAAGGAAGGTGCCTGCAAGAGAATCGGCGCGGTCACTGCAGGGAGGACAGAGTTATGGAGGCTAAGGACATTGCAAAGTAGCTAAAAGACTCCTTTGCATCTGCCTCCACCACGGTGGCTGTGGGGAGATGCCTACCCCGGACCTGCTACCTATGGGGAGGCGCTGTGCGAGACCATGGGGCAAGAGGGTGGGTGCTGGAACACACTGAGCAGCAAGGCACCAGGAGCGGAGCTACCTGCCAAAGTCCTGCGGGAGGGAAGTGACTGACCTGTTTGTCTCCGCTTGGATACCTGGGGCAGGCTGCCCTGCCAGGTCCCGTCCCCCTGCACACGGCAGTGCTGCATTTGCTAACTGGGTTAACGTGGCACCGTTAGTTACACTGGTGCAGCATTCTGGGTAGACCAGGCCCAGGGATTCTTGAACCAGCTTGGGCGTGTCTCGGGCCTGCGCCAAGCACAGCACCTCCTCCGTGTGTCTGGAAAGCAGCCGTTTCCAGTGCCAAGAAACGGTGCCCCTGCCCTGGTGTGAGTGGTTGGTTTGGGGAATTGATTCCGTTTATTAGACTCAGCTGCCTTAATTGTCAACTCTGTGAACTCTTTCCCTGTGGATAATTGGTGGCAGAACCCCCCAGCTACTGTGCGTCTCCACTGCGGGGGAGCGTGAGACACTAGAGAGAGAGACGTTGTTATACCAGGGCTTGAGCAACCCGTAAAAGGGAGGCTGGCGTAGCTCCGCTGGTCAGGGAGTGTGAAAGCCAGACCCCTGACTGACAGCTACCCCAACGGACGAGGGCATCTGTTAGCATCGCTGACATCATTCAGGGAAGTGCTGTTACTGCTGTGCTGACGGAAACGCTTTTGTGGGTGTGCGCTGGGTCCGGACATGGGGTCCTGCTAGCACAGGCTCTGCAGTGTAGACAGAGCCTGGGGCCCTCCCAGTCCCTTGACCGGGGCAGAGCGGGGATGTTCTGCAGGGCTGTATCCTGGCTAGTGTTAAAGAGCCCTGGTTGCTACCTCATGAGGCTGTCCCAGCCTTCTCCATCCCGCCAGTCCTGCTCTGTTTGGATTGGGGCCGTCCCGCAGAGCGCTGGGCACACTGTGCTGGGCCGAGCTCCCAGTCTAATCAGGGAGGACAGGCCCAGAGAAAGGAAGTGACTTGGCCAAGGTCCCCATGGGGGTCAGTAGCAGGGTTGGGAGTGGAACTGGAATCCCCTGAGTTCTAGCCCAGTGCCCAGAGGTCAAAGGGGGCGGGGGTCAGAGCAGCAGAGAGGGAGGTTCTCGGGGGCATTGGGCCGGGACTCGGAGCAGAGGCCCAGCCCCTGGCCCTCGGGGAGGCAGGAGCGTATTTCAGAGAGGGTTAACTGCGGAGCGAGGCGCTCGCACCTCGCTGCCTTCCCCGGAGTCTGCATTTTTATGCTGATTGGAAGCCTGTGCTGTGTGCGCTGCTGAAATTGAATGTCAGGCTTTTGATTTTGTTGCTGGTCTCTAATGAAATTTGACATTTAATGGTGAGTGCAGCGGCAGCGTGTGTGTGTGTGAGCGGAGCTTGATTAGCGCGCTCTAATTGACAGTAATTAGGCAGCTCCCTGATTGTTTCTAATTCTGCTATTAATTGTAAGGAACAGTATGATTGAGGATAAATTTGGTGCGTTGCTACCGGGGATACGGCTTCTTCAGCTCCGTATCAGCAGCCTATGGAGCCCATCCTACTCGGGCTCCTGAGAGGGGCAGCCCAGTCATCTCCTCTGGAGGAGGAGTCCCGCGCTGGGCCTGGTGATGGCTGCCAGCCGCGGCAGAGCACCTTAGCAGGGCCTAGGTGGGACTCCCAGCAGGTGTGTGTTCCCACAGCCACCACGCCTCCCTCTGGGGACAGGGCCCGATTCATGGAGCAGGGTGCGGCGTCCCAGGGCCTGTCTGGGGAGTGGGGGCAGCTGGGACATCTCTGATGGGTGGGTGTGGCGCAATTGGGGGTGTCTAGGGCGTCTCTGTGGGACAGGAGCAGACGGGGCTGTTCGGGGCATCTGTGGCGCAGGAGCAGGCGGGGATGTTCGGGGCGTCTGTGGGGCAGGAGCAGGCGGGGATGTTCGGGGCGTCTGTGTGGCACAGGAGCAGACGGGGATGTTCGGGGCGTCTCTGTGGGGCAGGAGCAGGCGGGGATGTTCGGGGCGTCTGTGTGGCACAGGAGCAGGCGGGGATGGTCGGGGCGTCTCTGTGGGGCAGGAGCAGGCGGGGGTGTGCGGGGCGGCTCTGTGGGGCAGGAGCAGACGGGGATGTTCGGGGCGTCTCTGTGGGGCAGGAGCAGGCGGGGGTGTGCGGGGCGGCTCTGT